CATGCCTGTATTTAAACCTCTATAAATGCCCTTTGCCTCCTAGTTCTTTCCTCTATTTCCTTTTACTCTCCTCTTGCCCCACTATCATGCTCAGCCTTCATTTGAGTTTCAGTAATTCCTCTTGGTTACATTACCATTGATCAAGCACTACCAGGTCCCAGGTAGTTCTTACCTGCTCCTGAAAAACCCGTTTTTCTTCTCCTGTGCTGGGTCGCACCACATAGTCAGTTCTTCTGGAACATGAAGTTTTGTAAATCAATTTTTAGGAGTAACAAGTTATTCACACCCTTTTCAGCACCCAGAATCATTCTCCAAAATGTTTCCATCCCCTCAGCAACATGATGCTGATAGATGCACAGCTTCTTCCCAATCTCATAGTTCACCAACACTTCTACTTTTTACAAAGGTCAAAAGTCCACTTTCTTTTCTTTCCCCACTCCCCTCCCCAAAGTCCACTTTCTAACTCTAGCAAATAATTCCTATTGATGTTCCCAAAATCACTTCTTTAAAAATCTAGAAAGTATTGTGTAGGTAGAAAAAGGACGGATACTTTTCCCTGCTATTTCCAATACTGCTGTCAAGCTTACCCAATCTAAAGGCAGTAAAAAAGTCTTCCCTGAAGAACAAAGGATTCTAAGTTTGTTAGATGACAGGGTGATTTCGCTTCCCTCGAGGGGAAGTAGTCAAACATTGAGTTCCATAACCCTATTCATCAGGTAGTGGTTCTTCCGCACTGGGGTGAAGGTTGGCGTTTTCATGCTGGTGCTTGGGAATTGGACAAAAAGACCACCCCAACACGGGAAACAGTATCGTGAGAGGACGTCATTGAAAGAACGCAGGAGCACGAGTCAAGAGACCTGGTGACTAGTCAGAGTCCTGTCACTGCCCTCCAACAAGTCACTTAGTGTCACACAGAATGAAGAAGTCGGGTTGGAGAAACCATTCTTCAATGGGAACAGCAGAAGGGACATATGTAGGGAAGAAAGGATGTCCACCTACCCAGTCAGTCACACTCCCTCACGGAATCCAGACTCGCACAGGATGCAGACTTTATGGAGCCAGCGAGTGGATGAATACCATAAACTACTGCTCGGAGACATGCATTACATCTTGAACCTCAAGTATTTTAAAATGAAGTAATAGTTTAGCTTAGCTAGAAAACGAATTGTCTACCTTGAGCATCATGCTCTTTTAATAATTTCTGATCATCAGATCAAATTGATAACAGCAACTTGAGCGATTAGAAAGGCAACTTCAGGGCAGTGAGTTTATTTTAATGGAGGAGGAACAATTTGGAAAACTGATGCACAACCTGAAGAATATTTTATCACTGACTTGTAAATGTAGAAATTATTGAATCGGCATATGTTCTGCTATATAATTTTCTCAACAACAAAAAATAAAGACTTACGAGTTGGAAACAAAAAATCCCTTCCACAGGGAGCCACTCAACTGCTTACAAGTGTGTTGCCCTATTTAAAAGCAAAACAAAAAAAAACACAAAACAAAATCCCTCAATGCCATAGAGTTGATTTCAACTCACAGAGACCCTATAGCAGTGAGTACAGCTGCCCCTGTGTGTTTCCAAGACACGGAGTCTTCACAGGAACAGCAGGGGATTTCAAATTGCTCACCTCGTTTCAAATTGTTCCACCTTGTAACTACAATGCCTCCAGTGCTATGTCACCCTCCTTAGGTATGCTAAAACAGTTAAGAAACCAGTGGAGTCCTCTAATCACTAGGCTCCATTATAGCCCTCAAATTTCAAGAAATGTCAGCAAGACCATGGCAGCACCTTAAGCTAAAATTTCCTGGGAATCCTCCCACCATAAACACATTATACTCACACTCGGGGGACAGGAGTCGTGGCATCCAAGCTGTCTTCGTGTTCTTGCTGGGGAAAAGCAAAAGCATTAAGAGGTAAATGGACTAAAGATTCCCATTAACTTAGAACCAAACTCTACAGGACAGGGAAGAACTGCCCATGTGAGTTTCTGAGACTGTAACCCTTTCCAGGAGCACATCCTCCCACCACCTGTGGAGCAGCTGGTCGTTTTGGACGGAGGATTTTGTGGTGAGCATTCCACTTTGACACCAAGGCTCCGTCTAGTTAACTTAAGGGCTCTGAGAATCTACAAAGAAGGGTCCAGTATTTCTTAAAACCGTACCTTACAGAAAGTCTGGTCTTTAGTCTCTAACCACAGCTGGAATAGTGCAGCTAATTCTTTCTCATCATCCTGGGACTGACCTATTAGAAAAGCAAAATTACATAAAGTAAAATAACTAAAATGTAATTAAAACCCCAACGTTCACCTCACTTGCCAGACATGTGACAAGCTACAGCAATGATCCTGTGCATGTACTTCTCAGCTAGGGGAATTCTGCCATTCTATTTGCCTGCACCACTCCTCTTGAATTGTCACTTAATAGTTGATTCACAAGGATGTGCCAAGGAGGCACTTGCCTGTGTAACAGCATAACTGTTTAACAGTGAAGCTGTACTATTCTTGGGGGTTATAAAAGGCTTTTGATGGACAGTGTGCTACAAAGCACTGGCGCAGCAGTATGGAAGTGTCGAGCAGGAAAAAGCTCAACTTCCTTGGTTCTTCCAAGAAAGAGACAGGCTTCCTTTGTCCAAGAAAGAGATGACCACTTTCCTTCTGTGCCCTCATGTTGTACCCCTTTGTTCTGATTTCTACTGCAGCACGTAGACATGTATCTTATCTAGCTACTTACACTCACAGAGACACCAAGAAGCAAAAACAGTAGCAACAGGAAGAATCAGAGGAAGGAAGAGAAGTTGAAAGCAAGAGAAGTGCTGGAACATGGTCAAGGGACCATGAATACAGTGAGAGGACTGGCACAGGAAAAGCTGGTGGCCACAGGCCCAATGGGCTCAGTACTAGAGCCAGTGGGGACAAATGGCAGGATCAAGAGCAGCCCATCCTGAGAAAGCAGAGAGGAGGCCTGTCTGGTCAAGAGCTGCAGACAGAGATATACTACACCCAAGAAGGGGTTTTGCCTGCCTGATTTCTGACCTCAATCCTAAATGATACCTTTTCCTTAACAAACCACTTAACTCTGAGGCAAATCTGTGGTAAAGTCTGGTAATGCGGAGGGGCGTGAAAAAGAGAAAGGCCCTCGAGCCACTGACACAGTGGCTACACAAATGGGCTGAAGCACGGGAACAATGATGAGGATGGCACAGGATCGAGCAGTGCTGCCTTCCGTTGTGTACATGGTCACTAAGGATCAGAACCGACTCAATGGTACCGAACAACATGGTCATCAACAACAGGATCTGTGGGTTCAGTGTGACATTTACATAGATCATCACACCCAGAAGAGAAGTAATGAGTAGCCTGGGAAGAACGACTAACGTCAGATTGGTAAAAAGGTTATAGAGTAGAGGCTCACCTAGAGACCTCCATCTCACGGGGTGCAGCTTTGACTGATCCTGCTTATCATCCTCCCTAAAGTTAAGACAGGTTCTGACGCTAATAATGCAATGACTCCCATTTCTGTTTCTCAGAGAACTGGCCCTCTGATCTTTGCTTTAATTAGTAACACACACTACCTCCATCCCCAGAATGCTCTCAACACTCCTCACTCCCAGTGTGTTTTCTAGAAATGCCGCATCACTATCAGCAAAATCTCCTACAGCCTGTATTCTCACAGCACTCCCTGTATGTCCTGGTTACGTCTGAAACCTGCCTCTCCCTTGATCCTTACACCCTGTGTAATAATGATCATTCAGTGTCTCATAATCATGTCCTTCACAGTCAGGAGAAGAGTTGCATTCCTCCCTGGGTAACGCAGACAGTTCCATGGAAAGAGTTTTAGCCTAGTGGACGAGTGGACCAGACAAGTATCAGTCTCCATGTGCCTGAGACCAGCAGAACTGGATGGTGCCTGGCTACCACTACCAATGGTTCTGAAGGGGATCACGTTTGAAGGTCTTGCATGAAGGGAAGTAGGAAACAAAACTCAAAAGCATAAAAAAGGTTGGAGAGATCATCTGGTTGGCAGAGACTGTTAAAATTCCTAAGCCCATAAGCAGGCTTTAGGCTTAGAAATGAACTCACTTCCACGGCTCAATTTTCAGCCAAACAACAGATAGATCTATAAGGGGAACAACATATGGAAGGTACATACACCTTAGATTAATCAACTATTTGCAATCAAAAGTGGTTCATTTATCCAAAGGCAAAGCACAGAAAAGGTATAAAGATTACTGCCATCGAGGATTCTGACTCCTAGTGACCCCACAGGGCAGGGAAGAACTGCCCCTGTGGGTTTCCTAGACTGCAACTCTTTATGGAGTAGAAAGCCTCATCTTTTTCCCGTGGAGTGGCTGGTGGTTTTGAGCTGATGACCTCATAGTCAGCAGCATAATACAGAACCCACTGTGCTACCAACGCTCTAGAGCACAGAACAGTTAGGAAATAAGGCAGAATGAATACACAGGGAGGAAGTGGGATAAATGATGTTACATTGTGGGGATTGCAATCAATGAAATGAAACAAAATGAGTATGAATTGCTGAGTGGAAAACTGGTGTGTTCTGTAAGCCTTCACTCAATTCATGATAAAAAGTCTAAAAAAAGAAAAATACTCCTTCAGTTCCCTGTCACAATTTTTCTACACCTCTGAGCCGCATCCAACTCACTTTCTCCCAATTCAGCTCAATTCTATGTCCCCCTTTCCAACAAAATTCTTTACTATTACACTGATAAAGCACTCGAAATCAAAGGCATTGGTTCATTGGGCCTGCAGCCAGAGTCCTAGTTCCATCCTAAACCTAGAAACAGTCCTAAAGACTGTTTCCACTGCCTGCCTACTTCAACTACTGAAAGGCAAAGGTCAAGTCCCAAGGACTCAGGGAGGGGCAGCTTCCTGCTTGGAGCAGGCAGGGAATAGCAGTTAGCCTAAGGAAATGTCAAACAGATGAAACTGATGCACACATAATCAGACTGGCTTAAGGTCCTCTTTTCCCCTCATTTAGATAACCTCTTCATCTATGCCTGTGGTTCTCAACCTTCCCAATGCCGCGACCTTTTACTGCAGTTCCTCATGTTGTGGTGACCCCCAACCATAAAATTACTTTTGTTGCTACTTCATAACTGTAATTTTGCTATGAATCGGACGACCCCTGTGAAAGGGTCGTTCAACCCCCAAAGGAGTCACGTGACCCACAGGTTGAGAATGGCTGATCTATGCCTTTGGCATTAGAATTACAGTATAAATATCGGGGCTTCTGACAGTTTGTAGAAAATTCTATTATTTTTCAATTCCATTTTCCCATGAACTTTTTGAAGCCCCCTCCAACCCTCATAGGTCAACAACTCTCTATCTTTAACTCTGATTCAAATTCTAAACCCGCAAATCCCACTGTTGACTCAACATTTAACCTCAGAGGCATCTCAAACTCAGCACCTGAAACTAGACTCATGCTCTTCAACCTCACCAAATCTAACTGCTTTTGTCAAGGAAGTACCTCCATCCCTTAGCTAAAAATCTAGTAGAGGCCACACTTGACTAGACCTACCCTTCCATTATTCTCCAGATCCAAGTTCTGTGATTTTTCTATCTAAAAATTTTCTCAAATTTATTTTCTTCTTCAACCAGGTTCAAATTATCATGACCTCTTGCAGGTTTTTCTAACCGGTTATTAAAAAAAAAAAAAGACAAAGGACTTGAACAGATTTTCATCAAAGAGAACATTCAAAGGCCCAACAAGCACACGGGAGGTGAATCTATTTTGACTCATAACAATTGAATAGCCATTAGAGATGCAAAATCAAAACCACAATGCAATTCTCTTCACTCCACACTGAAAATGGCTAAGATAAAGGGCAAACAAATACAAACCCCAGGAAATATCAACTGTTAGTGAGAATGTGGAGAAACTGAAATCCTTCTGCATTGCTGGTGGGAATGCAGACTGGGACAGCTGCCATGGGTAACAGTCTGATGGGCCATCAAGAAGCTAACACAGAACTACCAACGTGGTGCTGGTGGCTGCCGCCAAGCCCCTTCTGACTCATGGTGACCTCATGTGTCCGACAGGAACTTCCTCCTCCTGGACTTACTTATGCAAACAAGACAAATATCACCTCTCGGTCAATTTCAACTCACAATGATCCTCTAAGAGTAGAACTGTCCCTGTGGGTCTCCAAAGCTGTACGTGCTGGGGAGTAAAGAGTCTCTCTTACTTCCACAGAGTGGCTGGTGGTGGGCTCCGATATGAAAACAATCATGAGGATGGACAGGATCAGCACTGTTTCCTTCTGTTATGCACAAGGTCGCAACAAAAGGGTCATTCACCTTCCGCTCTGGTGAGTCAAAATTCAATGGAAGTTGAAATCTGTATCCTAAACATCTGAAAGTGATCCTGAAGGATTCTTTCACTATGCAAAGGTTTGATTTCATTCAGGCTGCCTGCTTTTCTAATCTGCTAAATGGGTTAAGCACAGTGGGTTAAGCACTGGGCTGCTCACTGCAAGGTCAGCAGTGTGAACCCACCAGCTGCTCCACAGAAAACGAGACTGTCTGCTCCTATAACGATGTTCAGCCTTGGAAACCCTCTGGAGCAGATCTACTCAGTTCTATCCAATTTTGGTTTAAACTGCACTAATTGGAAGGCCAAAGAGCCACAACAGAGAGCAGGTGAATAACAGGCACTACTTACCAAGCAATTTCCACTGCTGGGGTTTCTCCTTGAATTCCACAAATGGAGAGAAACTGGAAGGAATAGCTGCAAAGACACAGGCACATATCAAGCCAAATATGTGAATGGCAGTGCTCTCCTTTTCACTAACTGACAGAAACACACTAACAACTATTCAGCCAATAGCTGGCAACCTGGAGCTCTATTATAGTATTGGAATGCTCACGATTTTGTGGCCTCCAAGTGCAAAGGCTACAGTTTATTAGAAGAATTAAGTAGTAAAGGGGGGTTGGGGAGGGGCACAGCAGATTCTACAAGAAAAAAAGCACCTTACCTCGGCTTTCTCCAGCAAGATACTGCAGGGCTGGTAGCACTAACTCTGCCCAGTTGGGGGCTGTAGAGAACCAGCTATTGAGGGAGCTGGCCGGAGATGACTGCCAATCCAAAACCCGCTCCTCTAGCTGAGGGAAACAAAGGGAGTGCTCAGGTCAGCTTTCTGCTCTATACCAGCCACAGCACAGACACGCCAGGCACACTGGGGTCGATTTAAGCTGGCTGCAGAACTTTGGAAGAAACTCAAGAGTTGTATTTCTCAACGTATAAGAGTCTAAGATTTGAAAACCTCACTGAACATTTGACTTTTCCAAAACTCTTACCATAGGAAGACTAGCTTGACCCTCCAGCAGCAAGATTTCTAATAGGAGAGAGAAGAAGCTAGAAGATATTTCATTGATTCCAAGGCAAGGCTTGAGGTCTTCAAGAGGCCTAACGAGGGAAGAAAAATGTAACATCAGAAAGGCCAACAACATACTATCCCTCTACTGATTCAAGCGCTCCAGACCTCCTAGAGCCCTCCATTTTTCCTAGCAAGATCTCGGAGACTTGGGGTTGCTTCTCAACACAATGCCATTCATTCACGTCCACTCAGAGCAAGGACCATGTATTGCTCATTCAACATTTCAGCCTTGAGCTTAAAGCTCTGCGCTCACTTACTCTTCCTTAATAGCAGGTATTGCCAGTGGAGACGGGGCCCGTGAGAGAGGTGCAATCCCCTCAGCATTGCTCTGAGGCTCAGCCAGGTCCTCTGCCTCTGATTTAATCATTTTCAGTTTCTTCTTTTTCTTTTCCTCTTTTTCCTTGACCCTTTTTTTAAGGACAGCCAAGTCATACAGGGCTGGAAAGAAAAAGCAACAGAAGCCTGTCGATGGTAGAACTGAAATTTCTGCATCAAAAATGAGGGGCCTTAACTGATTATTTTCCCAAGGCCCCAGTAAGAGAGAATCTCAGTGATAATAAATGAGATTTTAATGACTAATTTTCACACTTCTTAATCTGCTACACAGATTTTTTTTCATTCCCCAGCACATACATCCATACAAGGCAATGACAGAAACAAGTTATCAAGAAGAAGGCTGGGTTTATTTTTAAAGTGTGTAGACAGGTTCATCGAATTTGATACATAAGTCACATGAAGGCTACCAGGTGGGGCACATGGTCGTGTACCTGCTAGAGAGCCCTTCCGGCCAGCATTCACTCGCGTCATGATGTCACTGAGAGTCAAGTCCGCTGTCAAGAGGTCTGGGTGATCCTAGATGTGAAATCAGGAATTCCGTTTTAAAAATGCAAAAGGAAGCTAAACTTGATGGTGATTTTGTCAATTTAACCTAACAAAAACAGTCTGGTATAAGGTGCTGGAGGAATACCGTTGAATTAAAAATATAAAAACTACTGCTCCTGACAATTTGCACAGAACTCAGTGCCCTATTTTCTATCCACGACTCTTTACAGATTACAAAACTCTTTCCCATTCCCTATCTCATGTGCTCTTCAAACAGTCTTATATTTTATAAGGAAAATGGGGTCCAGAGAAGTTAAATTTGTCCAGTATCAGCTATGGAAACGACAGATGAGACACTTCCAGTTTCTAATGTGGGGTTTCTCTTCCCACATCACTGCTCTATCGCAGATGAACTGCCTTTCCATCTTTTCTCCACTATACCCTATGGCTTAGCTTTACACGCATTGCCTTGAGTTGATAAAAGTAGAACAGAAACAGTGAAAAAGTACAAGGAGCACAGGACAGACTCTGGCTGCAGACCTAAGGAAAGAGCCTGAACACTTGTGAACACTTCTGGGCATGAGCAAGGAGGTAAAGATTCCCAGACCACCCAGGGTTGTGGTAAAGATTAAACCCAATACAGTCAGTGGTGATTCCCAGCCCACCTGGAGTTGTGGTAAAGATTAAACCCAATACAGAAAAGACTTGTCGTCTTTTCACACCTTTGGTGTGAAACCACCTTTCTGGTTGTGTGACTACCTGGTGTTCCTTAAGATATGCAGTGCAGGCTTGGCAAATCAACAACTATTAGTGACCACCCCCAATTCGTCTTACTGGTTGATGTTTCCGCTTCTCGTGGTGCTTCTTCAGCATTATCTTCAAGTCACTGTCACCCAGTTCGATTTTATCTGAGAGGAAACAAATCAAATCACGGGGATTACATCGGTCACTACCACGATGCTCACATCTCCAATGTCCTCAGCCCCCTTGTGATCTTCCTGTGTAATACAAGTACCAAAAATCTGGAAATGGTGACGAGACTAACACTTGAACTTTTCTAGAGAATGACCAAAAACGTAGGCTACTTACTGAGCTGGTCCTAAAACATTAAGAGTCCTAGAATCTTTGATTCTGATGCCCAATAAAAACTCTTCTCCAATGTGAATGCTTTCTGAGGAACTGCTATGGTTCTGATTACCGCTCTTGTTGTTATCATCCCTTTGTATAGCTTTTTTGTTATGGGATGTTGCATCCTGCTTCTTTAGTTCAAAATACCCATTAGTCAGCTCCTACAAGGACAACTGTTTTCAAGAGAAGGAAGGTCCACAACCAGGAGGCCATCTAGCTTGGTGTAACCCATCAGGGTATTATGAGGTTTCTACATACTTACACATCAATTAGTTTTCTAATAGTGCCCCCAACGGTCTGAAGTGCATTTATTTATTTTAGTAAATACTGAAGCAACTACATTTCACTACTGTATTTTTTTTTATTAAATACCTTTTATTGGGGGCTCCTACAACCCTTATCACAATCCATACATATATCCATTGTGCCAAGCACATTTGTATATTTGTTGCCCTCATCATTCTCAAAACATTTATTTTCTACTTGAGTCCTTGCTATCAGCTCTTCATTTTTTCCCCTCCCTCCCTGCTCCCACCCTCCCACTTCGTCACTTTAAAGATGTGTATTTTCTGTTTTAATAGCTCCGAAATCAAAATACATCTTAAAACTGATCATAAAAATCCTCAAACTAAGTTACAATAGTAGCATGATTTTATTGTTGGCATTCTGAACCACTTCCTTAAGTCACATAACCTCTGAGTTCCCTGTCCACATTTCATATCCAGTTGCTAGTATTACCTAAACTCTGGGAAGCACCCACTACGTAAAAAAGTGTAGTAGCTCAAAATCTTGGCCCAAAGCTCCTAGTTCTACGCCACATTGCTTTGTTTTACTAAGTGGGCAAAGAGTCCAGTCCTCGCTTGCCTCTCACTAAGGAAGTTGCCAAACCCACACACCGACTTCCCATCAAGCCAGTCCTCACCTGCCGTCTTCATATCCATGGTTGAAAGCGTGGGCACCACCCGGAGGGGCACCGCAGGACTAGGAGAACACGCGGGAGAGCTCGGAAGCCATGAGCTGAGATCTTCAAAAGAAAATGTTTCTTGTAAATCCAACGTGGCTGTGGACTCCAATAGGGGAGACTGGGTAAGTGGCCATTTGGGTTCAACAAGGCTAAGCCAACCACATGGAGGCCAGGGTTCCACATTCCTTTCTGACCCTTCCCCAGATGGACAGGAGCACACTTAGGTCATTTAAACAGCTCTTTCAGGAAGAGAGGCGTCAACAGAGAGATGGGTCGCACTGCAGCAGGCCAAGAGTCACTACTACTCTCCTGTAACGGGAAAAGCAGTCTCTCAAGTGGCACAGAGACAAGCCGACTGTGGAAGGAGTCCTGCCAGGCAGAGATTTGTCCAATACGATCTGACCTAAACTCCAATGTCACGTAAGCATGAAGGGTAAGCATCATCATGGAGTCATTTCCCACCTAACAGGAATGTCCCAGTGACCTAAGCATCAAGGTGTTCTGAGATCTGCCAACCATCCCCGGCAACCCTCCTAGAACAAGTGAACTTCGAGGGCTTCTTTGCTGAGGAGGTGACTTACCAGTGCTGGCTCCAACGGTAAATCTGACAGCCCAGCTACCCCACAGGAGCCCCTTAACACTCACCTTCTTCATCAGATGATAAAGCTGTGTCCCCACATTCCTCCTTCACTTCCCTCAAGACTTTCAAATAGCGCTGCTGGGTCCGCCACTCCCGCTCCTCAGGGGTGCGGGATGGGGAAGAGCGCTTGTGTCTGACGGGGAGGGCCGGGCCACTCCTTCGCGCCATTTCCAAAAGATCCTAGATAAAATCAGATGTGGTATTCACTATCATTCAAACCTTGTTATAGAGCAGTGGTTCTCAACCTTCCTAATGCCATGACCCTTTAATACAGTTCCTCATGCTGTGGTGACCGCTCCCCAGCCATAAAATTATTTTTGTTGCTACTTCATAACTGAAATTTTGCTACTGTTATGAATCGGGTGACCCCAGTGAAATGGTTGTTTGACCCCAAAAGGGGTTGTGACCTACAGGTTAAGAAGTGCTGTTACAGAGCAATGTGCACTCTGCAAGTCTACAATTCCCCTCAGTGCTTAACAAACCCAATCCCCTTCCCTTAGGGTCCAGAGAAGCACAGAGGAGCTTCAGAAAGTTCATGGAGAAAAGGAATGGAAAGATAATGGAGTTTCCCACCAACTTTCTGAACCCTTCACAGATATGAATCTGTTCAAACAAACTTTAAAAGGCCCAGGTTGATTATTCCGTGGTGAAATTTTTCAAATCTTTGTGTTGGACTGTTACACTAAGACTAAATACTGATTGTGTTGTATGAGTAGTTCTATACCAAAGATTAAAGAATCGCTTAAAAAACAAAACAAATCTAAGAACTGTTCAGCTGGTCGAGGGTCAGGAAGTCATCTAGCTTACTGTACTTCTTACCCATCAAAATACAGGCTTACACATCAGTTCTAGAGCAATCTAGTTTTCTTAGTAATCTACCACGTGCCTGAAATCCACTTACATATCTTATAGAATACTGAAGTTACTCTATCTCATCAATTTTAAGAGGCACATTTCCCTCCATGTTTCAACATCGTCAAAAACAGGGCACATCTTGAAATTGATCATAAATATCCTAACAATCAAGTTATAACTATGTCATGATTTAATCACTGACATTCTGAAACACTTCTTTAAGTCATGAACTCTTGGCATTCACTGCCTATATTTCACATTCAGTTCCAGATATGACTTACACTCCTGGAAGCAAGAATCTGCTTCAACAACCGGTAGAAATACTGCTGCTGAGAGTTGAGATAGCGCTTGTGCTGTGACTTGAAGCACAGCTGCCGGTACTTGACCACTTCAGGGTTAAAGTGCCCATCTTGAAAACAAAAAGAGGGTCACCCATATGTAATCAGTCAGCAAATAGTTAACAAATGTTTGAAATGTGCTAGACTCTGTAGCTGACAAAATACAGGTGGAAAAAAGATTATCTATGTTCTTGTGGAGCCTACAGTCAAGTGGAAGTCATAGAAAAAAGGTTAATAAAGAAATACTACTAAATTCTCTAAAGGCTATAAAAGAAATTGAGGGAGTTAAATTTTGGACCAAAAAACCCCATGGAATGAAAGAACCCTATAGCTATCGGTACACATAGGAACTCAGAGAGTAGATCTCTACGCAGACTGCCACATTTCCCCCCACAGATCAGTTGGTGGGTTCAAACAACTGACTTTTGGGTTTGTAGCTCAGTGCTTTCACCACTGAACCCCCAGAGTTCCTTTAAATTAGGAAAAACGTCTCTAAAACAATACATACAATGAAGCCTGCCCAACATCACTGACGTTCAACAGCTAAGAAGGGTTACATGGGTGTTCACTGCACATGCCATGCTCCAAACATTTTCTATGTTGAAAAGTCTTAAAAATGAAAAATTAAGAGGAAATAAAAAGGAACTAAGGAAATGAAAGCAGGGAAATGTCTACCTTAGGCAGAGGACACTGCACTTCACAAAATGGAAGAGAGTTCTAGGCCTGAGGAGCAGTGGTACCAGAAGACTCAGAAGAACAGAAGGGTACAACCACAAGCCTGGATGCCATGACTCTGCCCCAAGCGCAAAGGAAATAACTTCAAGGATGTGAATTGGAGAATGAGTTAAATGGGAAAACAGAACTATTGCAAGGTCCAGATAAGAGATAGTATTTGGTCCAAGGGCTCCTCCACTCTCAGAATAAAAGGCTCCACTGAAGTGATAATATTTTGGGTATATTGGATAAGAAAAATAATGATAAGAATCGATTTTATCAGCTTTTACTTTTCTTAATTAGATGACTAAGACATTTTAAATGAAACATGTAGCTCATGTAATATTTCTACTCACCAGCACTGGGTGAGAGTACAATGAAAAAAATGGGGAAGAGTGGTATCGGACAAAGCTGGATAACTGGGAAGGGACCAGAGTACACAGAGCCCTGTAGCCTATGGCTAGGAGGCTTGGTAGTGCTGTCAGTAAGTGTCAGAATGCTATCCACAAGATTGGTGGTTCAAACCCACTAGACACTCAGCAGGAGTAAAATAAGGCTATCTGCTCCCACTAAGCCTCTAAAAGCTCACATACGGTCACTATCAGCCATAATCAATTCAGTGGAAGTAGTAGGCTCTCTTACAGAGACTGAATTCTTCTATCTTGCAAGTCTGGCTAGACCAGAGGATGTACACTGGTACACATAGGAACTGGAAACACAGGGAATCCAGGGCAGATGATCCCTTCAGGAGCAGTGGTGTGAGTGGCGATACTGGGAGGGTAGAGGGAGGGTGGGTTGGAAAGGGGGAACCGATTACAAGATCTACATATAACCTCCTCCCTGGGGGACAGACAACAGAAAAGTGGGTGAAGGGAGACATCGAGCAGTGCAAGATATGACAAAATAATAACTTATAAATTATCAAGGGTTCATGAGGGAGGGGGAGCAGGGAGAGAGGGGGAAAAATGAGGATCTGATGCCAGGGGCTTAAGTGGAGAGCAAATGTTTTGAGAATGATGAGGGCAATGAATGTACAAATGTGCTTTACACAATTGATGTATGTATGGATTGTGATAAGAGTTGTATGAAGCCCTAATAAAATGATTTTTTTTAAAAAGATTGAATTCTAAGTTAAGGCACTAGTAAATAAGCAACTGAAGTTCTAAGAGGATCACTATTATGGTAGCTGGGCAGAAGTTGTGGCTCAACCAGCCTGGGGGAAAAAGATCAGCAAAGAGATGGTGAATGAACACAGGCTAAGTATCCAAAGAAGGGAGATGGAACTTAAAGAACAGTAGTATGACAGGGCTTCAAAATTTTGTAGAAAATGGAATTAAAAGATAATGGAAGTTCTCCACAAACTTTTTAAAGCCCTCTCATATAAACAGAAATAATAAGTGAAAGAGAGGTTGGCAAAGAAAGGCGGGATACATAAATATTAAGACACCCAGGACGAATGAATCACTGATGCAAGGGCAGCAAAGTTGCCAGGTGAAAGCAGCAGTCCTCGTGTCAAATGCTGCATCGGGAGGGTCCAGAGGAGATGAAACAGAATCTGCTGCTCTCGGGATCACATGGTCAGTACGATGACAGAGATGTGTTGACATGGTGGGACTATGAAACTTTAATATGGGCAGTATTAGTTAAGTGTATCAACAGGATTTTTCTCAGTTTGCTATTTATCGTTCAGAGAAAGTGCTTGCTTTCCAGAGATGAATGCTGAGAATTTTAAGGCAGTTTTATATGCAACATTCTAAAATGGGGCAACAAAATGATAGTAATAGTGGGTAAAGGAGAAGAGGAAAAAAATGTAAGTTGGAAATAAGGACAGATGGCAGAGGGTCAGAAAAGCAAGATATTGCGTTTGATTACTAGCTATAAATATTTTTCAAGTTTTTATAGCAGAGTGCTACAAAGTATGAGGGAAGATGTTTCTTGAATTGTAATAGAGAATACATAGGAGAAGTGATAGGTTACAAGGAGAGACAACAGTGAGGAGCCATTAAAAGAAAATAGTGACAGAAGAACTAGGTGGTCCCAGCTACCACCACCAACAGTTCTGATCAGGATCATCCTAAGAGCAGGTCCCCAACAGAAAAGGAAACAAATGTACAACAACTTAAACGCCAAAAAAGAGCCACATTTCCTAGACTGATAGAAACTAGAGGAGACTACTGGCGGTAAAGGAGCCCTGGTGGCGTAATGGTTCTAAGTTGGGCTGCTAACAGCAACATCAGCAGTTTGAGGCAGCCAGTTGCTCCTCAAGAGAAGGACTTTATACCCTGGCAAAGAGGATCTGGGAAGCCTACCAGGCCAGATCTACCCCATCTTCTCAAGTCGCCATGAGCTGGAATGGACTGGAGGTCAGTGAGCGTAGTTTTGCTCGTCTTATTGCCCCTTACAAGCTACCCTTTGAACTGAAGACTAAAAGCCACTCTTGGTGGCCACCTTTCATCCGAATAAAAGACTGGCTTATAAAATACACAGTATCACCCATGAGTACTGTGCGCACTTAAAACCATCTGACACCAAATGGCAAACAAAAGACCCAAACTAAGCCACTGCCATCAAGTCAATTCCAACTCACAGCACCAATGTGCGTTTCCAGGGCTTTGTAAAACTTCACAGAAGCAGAAAGCCTCCTCATCCTCCTGCAGAGAAGCTGACAGGTTTGAACCATGAAGCTTGTGGTCAAGAGTCCAATGCTTGCCCAACAACGCCACCAGGGAAATAGAAAGGAGCAGGGAAGCTAGATTAATGAAAAATGAGCAAACAATGTAATAAAAGAGGAGGCTGACACATTGGGGGAAATGTAGCCAACATCACAGAGCAATGTGTATAAAAATGTTAAATGGGGATATAACATGATGAGTAAACTTTTCCTTGAAACAGTGATTTTTTTAAAGTAGTAAGAACAGTAAAAAAAAATAAATGCAGTAATAATAATGAAAATATGAATATGGCAAAACGTTACTAGTTGGTGAAATAGGTTAAGATCATATGGATGTTTATGGTATAGTCTAGTGACTGTCATTCTGATTTTTTTCCTTTTAATCAACAGAAACAAACAAACAAAAAGCATGCTGGTAGCACTACTAAGAGAAATCTCAACGAGGTACCAATGGAAAGCCACCAGTGAACAAAATCAGAGTAACTGAAAAAGACAGTTATGAACACCTTTCAAGTCTGGGGGTAAAAAAAGAGGAAGAAACACCGCAATAAAGGGGACAGGTGGTTGAGGGCTTCTTCAGCTGGCCACCCCTGAACACATATGCAGACTGAACAAGCACGTGGAAAGTGACTACCCACAGAGTGAACACACAGGGGACAGAGAGCAGTGAACGGAGGCAACACAGTCCCAAACGAGGTAACAGAGGAAAGAGCAGTGTTCACCTTGGAAGAAAGTCTTCTTCCTTTGACTTACAAACAACGGGCCAGAAAGGAAGTGAATATACTTAAGTTGGAGTGGGTAGGGAGTGGAAAACAAAGAAGGGATTGAAGATGTCAAGGATTTCATCTTGCTTGGATACACAAACAATGCTCATGGAAGTAGCAGTCAAGAGATCAAATGATGCACTGTTCTGGCTAAATCTGCTATACAAGACCTCTTCAGAGTGTTGAAAACAAAGTTACTTTGAAGGCTAAGGTGTGCCTGACCGAAGCCATGATATTTTCAATCACCTCATATGCATGTGAAAGTTGTACACTTTGTCTAAATTCAAAGCATCAGATAAGACATCAGGTAGTACGTGAGGTGTAGGCAAATTTAAAACAGAATCAGTAAAGAAAATAAAAAGTAAAAGAACACTGAAAAGCACTGATAGCTCATTTTAAGACTGATAACCAAAAAAGCCATGGAAATGCAACTATCTTTAGAAACACAGTGCTAAAATACAGCATTGGTTAGAATGATACACACAAATATTCTTGCCTAAACATCCTTGTTTGGATCATTACCAGACCGCCTTATTGTCGGAGGCAGGACATTTACTATTACCGTAAACAGTACTGAAATACAGAAGGTCCACTGCACAGTCCCTCTCAAATCTATCAGTGTCCCTCTTTCCTGCTCTGCCAGAAGAGATGGGTTACTCAGGCTTGAGGCCCCGGCTTCCGTGAAAGACACCTCTGCCAACGATAACCAGTTAAGTCTCTACTGATGGACGAGGAGCAACAGAGGAAGGAGAGTCGGGAACAGGAGCAAATGAAATGCGTGAATAATGAAACGACTTCCTTTGCCATAAGGACAGAAGAACTGGATGGTGTCTGGCTATCATTACTAAACTTTTTATGAAAAATTCTACAGAAGAATCCTGAATGTACCACAGAATTTCAAAATCTCATGGACTCTAGTCTTTCTAGACCATAAAAGAACCCCTGAAACTACTGCTCTAAGTTATTTTTAAACCATAAGCCGAAAGGACCTCATGAAATCTGAGCCAGTTTTAAAAAACCATTGTCTTTGAGTTAATTCTGACTCATACCAACCCAGTTTAGCTTTAACAAGTTAAAAAAAAAATCTGCCTTGAACATTAGGTTGCTTTAAGACTTATCTATATGGAATCAAATTAACAGTAACTCAAAAGATTATATATTAACCTGAGGGTGCAGTGAGTTTATGCTAATGAAGATAAATAACACAGAAGGGAGGTTGAGAATTATTGCACAATTCAAAAAATCTAGTTAATGTCACTAAATTGTACATTTAGAAACTACTGACTTGGTGTATGATTTGCTGCATATATATCCAATAGCAACAACAAATTAAAATATAGAAGGGAAAAAAAAAATACTGATCCCATTCTAGAATCCTTAATTTCCAAACAAAAGGATAATCAATGGATATAAAAGGACTGGAGAAACAAAGGCTTTGGGGGAAAAAATTGTCATATGGTCTCAAGATATAATTCTCAAGATATAATAAGCCTTTTTAACTACAAAGAGAGAAAAAAATAAACCTTACAATCAAGAGGTTCAGCAAACACTACTTAACAAATCATAGTAGTCATTATAAGCAATGAAACGTTATTGGCATTACATACCTCCTGAGGGAATAAACTTAAAATTTCCCATCATACAGTATTCTTGCCCAAATCTTTTTATTCTGATTACAAAACAAGGAGTTCCCAGGAATGAGAAATTTACAATTCAAACATCCTAGGCTGTTAAAAAAGTGTGTTTTGAAAAGTTAAAAAAAAGGCAGAGTCCTAAATTCAAAGTGTTACAGTCACAAGATCCAAATAGAATGCACGAAATATGAACAGATGCTGGATTTAAAGGAACTATGAATGTATCTTAGAATTTAAAGGAATACACACGCACAAATAAAGGATATTTGGGGAAATCACTGAGAAAATGTTAATATGAACTAATATCAAATAGTATTATTTGCCAATGTTAAATGTCTCGGTTAACAGGATTGTGATTATGTAAGAGCACAGACATGTCATCTGAAGTCAACAGGATGTGTGGATGCTATGTGTACATAAAATAAAGCAAATGGCTAAAATTTTTTTTTCAATTTTTAAGTATTCTAGAGGGAACTTCTGGGACACTGGTAACATTCTATTTATTTACTGGGATGGTGGGTATGTATCTCAGTTTGTTTTTTTTAAAAAAAAACAACAACAGATCATCACTGAAGACAAATGGGTGCATGAGCAAATGTGGTGAAGAAAGCTGATGATGCCCGGCTAT